CAAAGGAGCCAATTGTGATGATGCCCACACCCCGTGTACCACAGAGGATTCAAAATGAGACCGGAAATGAGGACAATGAGTGGGAGGAGGAACTTCATCGTCATGACGAGGAGGAAAACGAAACGCATGTAGAAGATCAAATATTTCGAGACCCCCTCCCCCAGTTGAAAAGAGCTAAGGTTGTGCGTGCCATCCCAGCAGAACAATGGCCAAAGGATCAAGATGGGAAGTTCATCTTACGTGTTGTAGGTCGTTGGTAAGTTTCATATAATATACATTTAATTTGTACCCTTATTTTTTGTTTGTACTCATCTTTTTTCTTTCTTCACATGTGACTATGTAGTTGGATTCCTTCAAAACCCGGCGTCAAAATGATAGGGAAATCAATTAAGAGTGCTTATAGAGAGCCATGGCGTACCTGGTGTTCCGTGCCGCAGGAAGTCCGTGATCGGTGGTGGAGTTTTTTTAGAGTACGTATGAGAACTTGGAAATCCAATTCTTATTGGATGATATTTGAATTCTTTGCTCATGCACTATTTTCTACATTGTTAGGTTAAGGTGCTATTGTGCTTTAAAGATGAAATTTACCAACTCTTTTTCGTATATAGTACTGTAAAAACTGCTAATGTCCCCATATCCCTGCCCCCCTGCTGCCCCCTACCCCAGCCCCCCTGAAGTGGATAAGAGATGCGGCTTGGAAAGAACTTACTGAATATTGGGATTCACCAGAATTTCTTGCAATATCGGCTCGAGCAAAGGCAAACCAAGCATCAAAGAAGGGTGGGGCACTTCACACAACTGGACCCATTCCCCATGTTGAGGTTGCAGAGAATATGGTATGCACTTTAGTTATGTTTATACTTTGTTGGAATTGGTGATTCGTACACTTTAATTATGATATCGTCATTGGTACTGTGCTATTTATTATGAGTTCGAGTTATTTAATTATGAGTTCGCTGTAGGCTATTGCTCTTGATCGTCCGGTAGACCCTGACGAGTTGGTTTGTTTCACTCGACGACATACGGATGGTAGTTGGATTGACGACCGCTCAAAGGAGATATATGTAATAACACTAACTTTTTACGGATGGTACTATTTGTTTAATTTTATGATTTTTGTTTACATGTAATCTCAAACATATAAGATTCTACCTATTGTAGGACAAGTACCAAGAGGCTATCCACGACATTTCATCCGAAGCTGTGGACTCCTTGACAAAGTTACAAACATGGTGTGATACTGTTGGTGGCAAAAACCATAGCTGTGTATGGGGTACAGGAGGTCTCTCTTCTACCTTTTCTCGTGCAGGAGCATCAACTTCTTTTTACACATCTCAAAATGTCAAACTTGGAGCTTCTGATGCATCGAACAATGAATGGAAAAAAGAGATGGAAGAAAAATATGAACTCCAAGGTGATCAAATTGAAAGGCAAGAGGAAGAATTAGCTTACCTTCGAACTACCTTGAAAGATGTACTTCAACGCCTTGCAGTTGTGGAGGGATCTGCTGCACCTCCGTCATCGACCCCGGCTTCTCATCCACACTACAATGATGAGCGGGATGAACATGAATTGATTGATTAGTATGTTTCCACTTGGGAGCTTCAATGAAGCGTGCATGGTATATTTTGCTATCCTTATCGATACTTGTTGGTAATCTTTTATTAGATTTAGTTTTGTAAGGTATTGAGGATGACTTGTGACTTCTTGAAAACTTATTTAGAAATCCTTTATGTATTCTGACCTTATTTTGCAAATTTGTATGACTTGTGAGTTTTTGAAAAGATGATATTGTGTAATGGTTGAATATTGTTTGTATGTTTCTATATTGTATTCAGAATATTATAATTATTTAAATTTTTTTTTAATATAAAAAAAATTAGAGGCAGATTATCCCCCCTCTAAAGGTAGTGGCAAAGAAGTCCTCCTCTACTATTAGAGGCAAAAAATGTCGCCTCTACTTAAGCGTCGAAGAATTCCGCCTCTGATTTAGAGGCGAACAGTTCCGCCTCTAGTTTAGAAACAAACTTTTCCGCCTCTAAATTGTAGAAAATTAGTGGCGGACTTTTCCGCCTCTAAAATAAGCAGCGGCGTGATTAGCGGCAGAACGTAGTCCGCCTCTAGTTCCACTCTATATCTTGAATAGCGGCTTCTCCCCCTCTGTTCGCAATTATTTTAGTAGTGAATGTTAGTGCTTACTCCGTTAACCAACTCATATGGAGTTAAGAAGATTGGATGATTAACAAAAAACCTCAATAAGTTCAAAACTACCCCAGCTGGATTCTACTATCTCAATTCCTTTGTTTGTCTTGTTTTTTCTTGTCCCTAGTTGTTGTTTTTTTATTTGTATACTTTAAATCCAGAAATTCTTTTCTTGTCGACCAAAAAAAAATGTCAATCCAATTTAAATAGGTCTGAGAAAGAAAACAACATTTTTAAGTTGTTCAAGAAAAAACGGAGAGTGTACATTTCCTTTAGAAAATCTGCAATGACTATTTTATGCCTTAAAGTTTGCATAGTCTTTTATTAAACCGTGACGAAAATCAGATTGGTGCGAATATCGTATGAAATAACTCTTATCACCTTTAGGTTCTTTGCATTATACTCCTTCCGTTCTCAAAGAGACTTTCTCTTTAATTTTTCAACTTTCAACAAAACACTTTCACTTTCTACTAAAAAACTGCACTTACACTTACTTTTCCATACCTTACCTACCACATCATATTTTTTCTCTTATAATCTATACATCACATCTTTCTTTTACCCATAACATAATGGGTAAAATTGAAAGTCAACTATAATTTAAAACTTCCTTATTTTTACACTTGTTCAAAATAGAAAGTCTTTTTTGAAAAACGGAGGGAGTACGGTTTATTTTGGTATTAAGAAAAATTTAAAGCCTTATTTCGTTATATGAGGCATATTTTTAGTCCTAGTTATGTAGTTTTCCTTTGAAGTTAACTATAGAGAATCTCAAATATTTACTTGATACTTCATCTTATCATATATGAAGTACTTCGAGTTTCAAAAAATATAAATATATATAGAGTACTTTATATTGTATTTTCCTTTTTTAATATTCTTTCATTACTATTGTTCTTGTTGTTGTCGTCGTTGTTGAAGCTCGTTTCCTCGTCATTTAAAAGACCCATTATATTGGAGTGTTCCTTTGATTTGTTGTGAGGTATTTAAAAGACTCGTTATCTCTACAGTAATGAAATGTTTATTTTGCATATATAAACATTTATCATGGACCTTAAGTTTATACCAGAAATTGACTTTATTTAAAAGGAATGCTAAATCTTATTTTTGAACAAAAAAAGAGTTAGACTCTTATCCAGATTAAATCTACAAATGTCTCTACTTAGAGCTAAAAAAGAGGCGATTACAATGTACCACAAGATAAAACCAATGTAATAATAACAACAAAGTAAATTTGTTAAAAAAAAACCCAGCTCAAATTCATGTTCAAACATCAACATTTTCATGATTTCAACTGGCAGCTTGCTATCTTCTTCTTCTACTTCATCATGATCTGCTGAAGAACATCTGCAACCATATGATCAAGTTTACCTAGCAAACAGTCGAAATAATCCGTCTGTCGATTCACAGCCAAAGCAACAGAATATTCATCATCTTCATCAGATCCCACCATGGATTCTTCTGAAGGTTCATAGTCACTCTCATCCCCACCAACAACAACATTGTGATCCCCAGCAACAACACCGAACGATCCCCGAAGCCCCACTGGGAAATCCCGCCTTGCAGATACATCTCGTCTCTTGTACTTCGGCTTGAAAAGAACCAACCCACCTTCTTCCTCGGCGAGCCCGGGATTCGCAGCATGAAATCCATTCAACCCATTGAAGGAATCATCAAACTTGATGTCTTTTCGCATCTCTGTCTCAAATCCCACAAACTTAGTTCCCCAAGATTCATCATCATCATCATCATCATCAGAACCATTAGATCCCACTGTAACTTCAGCTTCTTCTGAAGGGTCATAATCGCTCCCATCCCGGCTAACCGGAACGGAATCGCCGGGAAAATCCCGCCGTGCGGAGACATTTCGTCTCTTGTAATTAGGCTCGGAGGAATCAGTAGAGACTTTGAGATTCTCCCATAACTGTTTAAGGGAACTAATTCGACCCATCGTAGAACCAACGCTTCAGTACGAATCCATCAAATTGAGAATCGAGAATCGAACCCTAGGGTTGCCTGAAATACGATTAGAAGTGTTACAGAACGAGTTCAGATTCCAGTTTAGAAAAATTTTTTTGATATTCAAAAACTAAACATGAAGTGAGGAAGATCGACAGGCGCCTAGGGTTACCTGGAATTGAAATTCTGGAAACAAGGATTGGTAGAAATCGGTCGGCTTGGATAGTTGGATTGGAACTTGAAAGTTCCCGGCAAGAGGAGAAAAGGGAAACTGCATATAAAAGCACTAATGTGAGAAAAAATAGCAAAAAAAATTGGGTCATGCTACACTTACACCACAAATTGTACCACATTTGTACACCACAGTTATACACAAACATTTTGATGATTTACATCGACACAGGTGTTTGTGCGTTAACAAAAATTTACACGGACATGAAGTGTCGGTGCATTAACAAAAATTAGTTTTACACCAACACAAAATGTTGGTCCAAATCTGTGGAATACAAAGTGGGGTACAAATAGCTTTATCCAAAAAAATTCTATAAATATTCTAGGACTACACCAAAATATATATCTCCCACCAAATTTTGCGTAGACGAACTAAGAGTAGATATATTATCATATATGTACCCTTATACACCTTGGCATACTCTTAGAGCATCGGAAATGCTCCAAATCTTTGGGGGTTAAAAATATTGTTTGACGCTGTTAAGGCTTTAAACATCGCCCTCTTCCCCCCGTTATGCAGGTGCCAGCAACTCAGCGTCAAACGTTTAACACGATGAAGAAGGTCCAAAAGAGCTGTTGCCACCCCCTCCCCACGGTCTAATATTTGAAAGTAGCTACATATATAACCCCACGGTTCAAGTGACATTGCCGGGCAATGTGACTTGAACCTTGCCCGATATATAAAAAATTATAACTTCAACTACAACTATCCTCTTATACATTAAAAAACAAATACAATGTATTCTTACATTCTCTTATCCAATTCTCTATTCTTTCTCAATTCTTCTCTTTCTCTGTTTTTTATTCTTTATCATGAATCTCTTCAATTCTTTCGTTTCTCCATTTAGTCTTGAGCCAAACGAGTACACGATGTGGTTTTACCGAACGTACGGAAATAATCTGACGTTTTTCGATACCCAAACCTCAATGAATAAGAACCCGGAATCAATTCTGGAAATTCAATTGCAATCAAGTGCACCAAAAAAAGTGCAAACCTAAAGAGTCACAACCCGAGCACCGAAAAGTAAATGACCGAGGTGGCACGATCCATTCAAAAATGGACATCAGAGGAAGAAGTGTTGTTGGAATCCGCGTGGGTTGACGTCTCGGAGCATCCTATCGTTGGTAAAATTTTTATGTTTTTAATATATACTCCCTCCGTCCCGCTATATTCGTCCACTTTTGACTTTTGGAACTGTTCATCTAAGCACTTTGACTCATCAAATTCTCTCAATGTGTAAGCCTAAATATACTCATGTGTGATCTTGTTTGATTTGTCTTAACATATAGATTATTAATATATAATTTATATAATTTTTTAATATACAAATTACAAGATAAAATGGATTAAAGAAGTGTATTGGATGGTGTGTAAAAATAAAAGTGAACAAATACTCTAGGACGGAGGGAGTATTTTATGGAGTAAATTCTATAATTGGTCCTTTATAACAGGGGGGTTTCCCTATTTAGTCCTCTATTATCAAATATTACTCCAGTGATCCTTCTTTTATGGGTATCTTTCCACAAATAGTCCTTTTTTTGATCTTCTATCACGTGGGAGTTAATTTGAGGGCTAAAAGTGTAATTTCATAATGATAATATATCTTTTTTATGATACACAATTACAAAAGTTGTTCCTTTTGCGTCGTTTGTGAATTACATCCGCTTTCTACTACAATCATAGTTTATAAATGTAGTCTTTCGCCGGAATCCTAGCCCACAATATATCTTTTTTATCATACACAATTCCAAAAGTTGTTCCTTTTGCGTCGTTTGTGAATTACATCCGCTTTCTACTACAATCATAGTTTACAAATGTAGTCTTTCGTCGGAATCCTAGCCCACAATCATAGTCATTATTTTTGTGTTATCCGCTTAACCAATATCAGAACACGCCACTAGACATAATGTTGATGTCAAATAATACTTTTAGTCTTTAAATTAATACCCACATGGCGGAAGATCAAAGAAAAGGACCATTTGTGGAAAGGCACCCTTTAAAAAAGGACTACGAGAGTAATATTTGATAATAGAAGATTAAATATGAAAACCCCCATGTTATAAAGGACTAATTATGGAATTTACTCTATTTTATATAAGTTCTTTTTTATATAATTGTATTCAAATATATAATTTTATTAAATTATATATTTTTTTAAAGGTATTGATCAAATGAGGGATGCGATATGGGATTGCATCGAGGAGAAGTTCTTTGCTGCAATAAACAAGGACGCCTCCTAATGAACCTGAGACCAACTCACTTTTAAATGGGGCCAATAAACAGAAAAGTCTGAAAGTTTATCAGAGTGTACGAGGAATGCTCTCGGTTCTAGAAGAGCGAGACACCTGATGTTTTGCGACAAGTAGGGGTGGGCACGGGTCGGTCCGAGCCAAGATTTGTATAAACCGGACTCGACTTGTTTTTTTTTTAAATGGTCCGGGCCGAAACGGGTTTTCAAAATTTCAAAATTGAAACCGGACCTAACCCGGCTTGTTTGAAACGGGCCGATCCCACAGGTCAACGGGTCAGAACCTATCATGATACTAATATTAAAAAAATAAAGGGATAATAAATTAACTTAAGTCATCCAACATAAAAAAAGAGACGTAAATGAAAATAAAACAATGGCAAAGAAGGGTATGAGAGTAAAGTGTGCATCCCATGATCATCCAACAACAATAATAAAAAAAGAAGACAATCATATTTTGGCATTATAATGTCAATGGGTTCCAAAAAGAACAAAATTCACAATCTTCATGGATTCCGACTCTCTGACTATGAAAGGTTTTCTAACTTTTCTACCTGCGATTGGAAGGACCAAAAGATTGAAGGGCTTAGGATATTTCCATATATCCGTATATTTACTAAAAATAATATTAAAAATAATATTGGGATTTAAAAAAACGGTCCGGTCCGAGTCCAATACAATTTCAAAATGAGGAACCAGACCGACCCTAAAATTTGTAAGGATCAGACCGACTCGGACTGTTTGAAATTTTTGAAAAGAGGACATGATCCTAACCCGGACCAAACCTAGCGGTCCGGTTCCAACTCCCGGTTCCTGGACCTGATTGCCCACCCCTAGCGGCAAGCCACAGACCGGTATCAAGACGACGGACACTCAGGTAAAGTCGTCGTGGATTTGTAAAGAGTTCTAAGCCGTTCACCAAAATAACAACAACTTTACAACCTTGAGACCAGATTATCAAAAAAAATATCCTCTTCCGATGCTGACGGGGATGATACTATCGGCTCGTCGAAACAAAGGCCTCCCTTCAACCTAAACGACGCCAATGCTGAGGACTTCATTCCACGTTTGATTCGGAGAAAGAATATAAAATCAATTGCTACGGGTTCAAAGTTCGGTGAACCGCTCAAAACTCTCCAAAGATCAACGGGCACCTTGCCTTAGTACCCGTCGTCTTAATACCGGGCCAAGGCAAGCCAAAGAACATCGACGTCGTTCGTCCCGCTCCGGGACCGAGAGCATTCCTCGTTAACTCCGATAAACTTTCGGACTTTACGGTTGATGTGGCCCCATTTGGAAGTGAGTTGGTCTCGAGTACGGTACGAGGCGTCTATGTTCATCGCTGCAAAGAACTTCTCCTCAATACGATCCAACATCACATCCTTCGTTTTGCTCCGAACCTTTAAAAAGTATATAATTGAACGAAAAAATTTATTTTAACACAAATTAAAAAATATATAAATTTTAAACCCAAGCCGATGCCAACAAGGATTCTTCCTCCGGCGTCCACTTTTGGATTGACTGTGCCGTCTCACTCATCGGTTTGTCGCCTTTCGCTTTGTGACTCTTCCAGCATGCACTTTTTTGGTTCTCGTTGTTTCTGGTTGAGTCTCCGAATCGACTCCAGGTCATCGAGGTTCACCGATGTTTGTGTTTTGAACAACGACGGATTACTCCCATACGCTTGGAAGAACCACATCGTGTACTCGTTTGGCTCGAGACCGCCAGGGGAGAAGAACCGAAGGGATTCATGTTAACACAAATTTAAAAATTTTTAAGGAGATTGAAGAGATGTGTGTGAATGGGGATTTCCATTGCTCTTAGAGCACGGGCAATGGAAAGGCAAAAAATAGAATGTCACACGTTGATGTGAAACATTTTAACCAATAAAAAACAATCCAGTCATCGTGTGGTAAGAGGGTGGAGTGTCATGCATTGCAATGACTAATCATTATGTTTGCCACTTTTTTACCTTTTTATTCATTTAATTATTAAAATTTATTTTTATTACTTTGATTATTTTAAAGTAGAGTAAATTTCATAATTAGTCTTTTATAACAGAGGGGTTTCCATATTTCGTCCTCTATTATCAAATATTACCCCCGTAGTCCTTTTTTTAAGGATACTTTTCTACAAATGGTACTTTTTTTTATCTTTTATCGTGTTGGTATTAATTTAAAGGCTAAAAGTATAATTTGACATTAACATTATGTCTAGTGACGCGTTCTGATATTGGTTAAGCAGATAATACAAAAAAATAACTATGATTGTGGGCTAGATTCTGACGAAAGACCACATTTGTAGACTATGGTTGTACTAAAAAGCGACTGTAATTCACAAACGAAACAAATTAAACGAAACAGCCTTTGGAATTGTGTATGACAAAAAAGATATATTATCATTGTGAAATTATACTTTTAGCCCTCAAATTAACACCAACATGATAGAAGATCAAAAAAAGGACTATTTGTGGAAAGATACCCATAAAAGAAGGACCACTAGGGTAATATTTGATAATAGAAGACTAAATAGGGAAACCTCCCTATTATAAAGGACCAATTATAGAATTTACTCTTTAAAGTAATTACATTTTTATTTATTTAATTATTATTTTTACATCTTTGTAATTATTAAAAATTATTTTACTTATCTATTTTATTACTTTCTCCACCCATAATTTTTCTTTTCATTTTGATTTGCTTGGTCAAACTTTTTAAACTTTTACCATAAATTATGGAAAAAATACATTAAATTATTATTTTGAAGCATAGTTTTAAAATATATAATATATATCTATATATAAATACAGACATTAATAATTAAAGTGTTGCATTGAAGATTGTAAAACGTCAAATGGGAATAAAATCTATTGACGTAGGGAGTATAAAATTACTTCTTCAAAAAAGTTTCTTTCTATTTTCAAAAAAAAAAGAAAAAGAAAAAAGAAGGAGAACTGCCTCGCATGTGCCATGGGAAGCAAGGTTACACGGTAATTCTATGTCATGCTTATAAAAAAAACCTGATGTGACAGGGCGTGGTGGGCAAATGTCTTGCCACTGCCAGTGCTTTTAAGGCTCTCTATTAAAGTTTTACCCTTCATTCCTTTAAAAATATTGCTTTCGTCCCTATTTTGATTACAATTTACGAAAAACAAAGAAAATTTATGAATTTTTTCAATTCATTTTATTGAGACATAAGTAACAAATAAGATTTACATATTTAAAAAACTACATCAAAAGTTTTACGAAATAAGAGGTGATAAAAATATTTTACTTTATTAAATAATCAATGAAAATATACAAATAAACAAAAGTTATCGTGATTTTGGAAGAGTAAACATTGTAATCAATTGTGGGACAGAGAGTAGAAAAAAAGGAAAAACACTAAAGGAGAAGTAAAACATTAAAAATATAGTAAAATAAGAGTTTCATATTTTAATTTTTAAAATAGGAGTTAAAATAGATATACAATGTCAATCATGATCATACACATTACCAAAAAAATATTGTGAAATATCTAAATACAATGTCGCATCACCATATTACAAATTCTTATTTTAGAGATAAAAATATGGATCTCCTATTTCAGTTAGGTTCCGTGGCCACTGGATTCCAGTGGCCACGAAAGCCACTGCCCCCCCTACGAAGCTCCGTTCATAAAACNACCCCCCTGGGTAACCCCCCCCCCCCCCGAGTCCCGACCCCAACTCAGTCTCACACCTACGTCAATTACACCCCGTAAGAATAATTGACTTTAAAGTCAAAAGTTTTGACTTTAAAACGATTTTGTTTTTCGAAACATAAGTTACTTGCATGCAAGTTAAGAAATACTCCCTCCTTCCGGAGTTTTATCTCTTTACCACTGTAAGATTATTACTACAATATACCTGAAGAAAGAATTAAAAAACTACCAAAATCGTTATTTCAACCCCACTGAAAAAAATTAAAAAACCGAAAAAAAAAATTGAAAAAACCTTTAACTCAACCTAAAGTTCTCTATGAATATGAATTACCAATGGGAGAGGTATCAGACAGTCAACAGAGAAGGCATCTGCAGATTTTCATGAACTTCCATTTGGCTTTTCTTCGGTTATGTGAACTGTTAATAGCAAAGAGTCCGGCTGATATTCTTCTTCATTTGGTAACTCTGCATTGTTTACCTTCCTGCGTTCACAGAAGCAACACCATTAATGGCTTCTCATCTCTCAGATATAAAACCACTCTAAAAATAAAAGAATGACTATTAGTGTAAACAAAGTAATGATAAAGTTCTTCAAGGGCGTTTATCAGATAAACTATAGTCTTCAACTCTTCACTACAGTATGTGGGATTTTACTGGGTTTGCTCTTGGTATATGAAGTTTATTAAGGGATGGATGAAGTATTAAGAATAGTGAAGCAGACATATACTCCATAGATGATCTATGTAAGAACTTAAGGTGCAGAGACGGGTGCTTACCCGCATGTCTTCTTGTTATGGCCTAAGCCCTTGCATTTGCTACACTGTAGCTGTCGTTTGATTATGTCCATCGGGTCGGCTTGTTTCATCTTGGGTCGGCCGGGTGGGCGTTTATTCGGGGGAGGAGTGACTAGAGCCATTGCCTGCTGTTCATCAGGAGCCAGTTTCTCCACATTAGGAACAGGGTTAATGGACTCTGCATATGTCAAGCGATAACACTCTGTGGTGAAGTATCGGGAGCAATAATCATATAGACTGTAACCAAGGTATTCAAAAACAGCAATGGCATGACAGCAAGGTATTCCATTAAGCTGCCACCCTTTGCAAGTACAATCCCAGTGGTCAATGTCTAGTGACTCCAAAGTTTCGCCCTGAACCTCAAACACGCTCCCGTGAGAGGCTAAAACCCTAAGTGATTGGGCCTTTGCGATCTCGTTTTGGAGTTTGTGTTCCATGCAAGGTGTCAGCTTCTCAACCCACTGGCTCGACTCAACACGCCGCGTGTACATCAGTTCCATCATCTTGCCCCTTAGAACATCCACCATTTGAGTTATCGGCAGCTCGTTCACCTCGGACACCCAGTCATAGAAAGGTTGACCAAAGTTACAAGTCAACTGGTCATACCTTGCCCCGCCGAAAAATGCATTTGCCCAATGGTCCGGCTCGCTTCTCATCACCCAATTGTAAGCTTCCGGTGAGATTGCTTTTATGTTTTCAGCACATTGGCCAAACTCCTCCAGTTTTGGAGCATAAGCAGCGGCATAAAGATCTTGGACCATAAGCCGTCTTGCTTCGTGTGAAAATTGACCTTTTAGATCCTTATTTAGCTTCTCAGCCAGATAACGAAGGCAATACCCGTGGTGACAATCCTTGCCAAATACATCCTGTAAGGACTCTCTAATGCCTTTCTGGAAATCAGAAACAAATGTTATAGGTTGAGTTGTCAAGACAGCGGGTTTTAGTTCCGAGAGAAACCAATGCCAGTTGTCATCAGTCTCCTCATCTACAACTGCAAAGGCTACAGGAAAGAAACCATCATTCCCATCAGAACCTATAGCAGCCAATAAAGTTCCTTGATACTTTGCATAAAGAAGGGTACTATCAACGAAAAGAAGAGGACGACACGCCTGCTGAAACCCAGATATTGAGGCATGAAATGCAATGAACAAACGGTGGAAGCTTGAGTCCTCCTTTGTGGCAAATGTTGCCAGACTGCCAGGATTCGTTTCTTTTATTTTCTGACAGAAAAGAGGTATCTGAGTGTATGCTTCCTTATAAGAGCCCTGAAGTTGTTCTCTTGCAATCTCCTTTGCCCGCCATGCCTGAGAATAGTTCAGTGTAATGCCATATTCACGTTTGATGTCAGAGGCAATGTCCTTCGGCTTGTAATTAGGCGAAATTTTTAACTTTTCCTTTATGATTTTTCCAACCCATCCTTTTGTTGCCCGGTACCCAGCTTTCACGGCAGCCCCTTCACACGTATGCGTTGAGTTCATTTTCTTAATACACACTAGCTGAGTCGTAGCCAACCTTGACGCATAAACTCGCCAAGGGCAACCTTCTGCCTTGCATTTCACCGTGACACGATGACTGTCGTTTTTCTTATACTTGTAACTGAACCCATGGGCTATTGAGAATTTGTGAAGAGCTTCTCGAAACTCAGCAAAACTACTAAACCTTTGGTCCACGCCAGTGATGGTGTTCTCCCACTGCATAGCAGCCCTCCGGTGCTTATCATCATTGACAGAGGAGAAATCACCGAGGGGAGCGATATCAATGGGAGTGTCAACCATGATTTGATCATCCGGGTTGATTAAATCCATAGGTGTATGAGGAGTCATGGTGGCCTCCGACACAGTCGTCCTGCTTGACCTGCACAATTGACCACTCCATAAAGTCTATTGAACACTATTATTGGCCAAAGACATGTCCGCGAAATCAAAGGAAACTAGATACCTGCTGGCAGGCATGTTGCGAATAGCAGCTTCTTCTGGAAGCATAAAGACATCAACTTGATCAGAGTCATTGAAGAAGCTGAGCATGCGCTTGAGATCCTTGTCTTTGGAGACAGTGATGAGTGTCTTCTTATTCCCAGGGAGAAAATACTTAATTGTAATCCCATTAGTGGCACATTGGAAGTTCTCCGACAGCTCTTTCTTGAAACCATCCAGAGTGGTCTGATCATCCACGTCCACTGCATAGGCCTCGCCCCCAATGTATGACAACGACCCGTCATCTTTGTTTGTCACAAACTCCCCTCCTGCTTGGCATACTGCAATGATTTTCTTGGAGGCAACTTCCATGGCAGCAGCATATAATCTTCAGAGAATTCAAACTGGAAACACACACACAAAAACCCACTTCAGAGACTAAATTCAAAGCTCTGTTCCAACCATACAATGCACTATCTCGCCAGCAATTTCCAGCCATCATTAGTTGATGAAAAAAAAGAAATGAAAAAGAATTGGAATTGCTGGAAATTGGTGGTTATGGGGAAAACCCTAAATCTAGGGAGTAACATGAAGAACAAGGAAATAGTGGAGACTCAGAAGCAAATCGTCTAGAATTACTTCACAACCAATTTTACCATTTTTAGTCGAGTAATAGAATTTGATAAAAGTTTTGGGAAAAATAGCAATAAAGAAATATTAGGTTTGAGGAGAAAAGTAAATTACAGGGAGATGGAGGGGGGATTCCGATTTTCAAACGACTTCGCAAAAAATGAGCTCTGCCGCTCTGTAATGCTCTCTCACGGTGGAAGGACAACGGAGGCGCCGAGAATAAGCGACGGTTCAAACGCCGGCCGGTGTTGGGGGGTTCGGCGAAATTGAGGTGGAGGGTGAAGATTTGATTCAGCAGAGGTTGGGGGCTTCTACGTGATTAACCCTAAGATCTATTGATTCTTTTGGGCCCTGATTTTCAGGATATTGTCTGATGGCCCCTTTTTGAAGTTTTGGGTCAAAACTCACTTTCCCTTTCCACAGAAAAAAAACACTCCATTTCCCCAAGTTTAGGTTCTCTTTTGTTGAATTTTAATTCCAATTTTTTTTCCTCTGTCCCAAAAGTGTTGTCTCAAATCTCAATTTAACTCTCGAATAGATGAAAATGGCATCTCCAAATCATTTTTTGTGGTGTTTGGCTTAACAGAAAAATATAAAGTCTATAGAAAATAACATCAGTCAAAATTGAAAATGAAAGCTCAAATTTGACTTCTGGAAAAAACTTGGGAAGTCATTTTCCGTTTCTAATTTGCTCTCTCCTCTCGCAACTCTTCTTCTTCTCTCTTCCTCCTAAGCCCTAGCCTCTATTTTCTTTCTTTCTCGTGACATTTCCATTCTTCTTCTTCTTCTTCTTCTTCTTCTTTGATGTGCTAAATCTAAACTAGAATTTGACAGGGTTTTTTTTGAATTAGGATATTTGCATCCGATTCAACAATCAAATTCATTACAAAAAAATTCATATCCGTAAGGAAAAACATTTGAATCTTAACAAAAAATGCAAATTTTTATCTAAATCTATTGTAAAAACATTAAAAAATAATCAAAATGAAAGATTGTGGGGTGCAGCAGAAATTACCAATTGAAAGTTATGCAAACAGATCAATCAATTATGCTGCCGAGAAGATGATGCATTGTCGTAACACCTTCTCCGTCATAAGCACACACACAGAAGCAGATGACGTAGAGAATGTTATAGTGCCTACTGGGCAGAATGTTGTAGCTATAAAATGCAAAAAAAGAGCACCAGATATGTTTAAGCAATTCGAAGAACTCTCCTACTCTGCGAGGCTCACGTCCATGTAATAGCCCTCTACTAAATCACTAGATACAAGTTACACCGGTACATAACAACATGATGAGACACACTTCTCCAAATTTTTATGAAAAAACTTCTAATATAGGATTTTTGACGTGAAGCCTATTCAGATCCGCTTTGGCTATCACATCCCCATCAAGATCACAAGGACAAACGTGTGGGCAACCCTCTCTTTAAGCTTTGGTTCATCTCTGATGTCATTTTTCATTGTAGAACTCCTTCTTCATGTAGATTGTAACTTTCTTCACGCAGGGGAAGTTTCGGGATGCGACGGGAATGCTCTACATTAGCATATATTCTTTGTTTTTCCCTCTCAATTGCTCTAATGAATTCCTAAGGATTTGCTGCATTTTTATAGCCTTCTCCAAACACAATCCTAATAGGAATAAGTTAGTAAAAGTTTTCTTGAATACAACTTTAATCTTGATCCGGAAGTAGCCCAAAGCTTCTATATACCAGCTGGATTTATTATCATGTAGTCACAATCCCTATAGGTCTCTGATTCTGAAAGTTGCATACCGCGGCCTAAAATCCCGTGCACAGACTTCTTATCCCGTACATTGTGTTGTTGCATTGTGTTGTAGCATCTTCTTTGTCAACCTCTAGAACTGCAGCAACTTTAAAATTCTAAATAAACTAAATCTCTCCTAACAAATAGAGGTTTCTACCTCGTAAAACTTCTACCAAATTTGGGTTTCTATTTGCCAAAAGATTAGCCAACACTTTGGAACTAACAAAAACTTCCAGCAACATTCTATTGTTTATATCTACACCCGTTGTCTTCACTGTGATGCTACCCCCCTTCCATGTTTGAAGATAATCCTCTACCACCGTGAGCTGATATATTGTGCCCTGCAACTGCCACTTGAACTTTCGTCACTGTGATTTGCTACCGCCTCAATCTCATTTGTTGTCGTCAACACTGCCATGTGTCATTGTCATTGTTCTTTGTCATCGCCGCGAGGTCATGGCTCGACGGAGGTGGACGCGACGAAACTTGCTAGGTTGCTCCGAAGACACCATTGTGAAATCAATTTCCAATATGTCTTTCCATGGGAGACGACGACTATCAATGTGGAGGTGAAGAGATGTGTGGTAAAGCTTTGCAGAGAGACGTTTGAGTAGTGGGAGAGATGATTGAAGGAGAGAGCTGTGTTTGGGAGAGATATGTGGTGTAACGTAATAAGTTTTTTTATTTTAATTTAAAATTAATTTAGGTCATATTTCTGAAATAAAAATATAACACTTTTATTTGAGAACATAAGCTACTCCGTATGTTAGTCCTATTAGAATTGATTTCTTCATAAGGGGTGACAAGAAAAAACTAAGGACTTGTTCGATGAGCGCAAAGATATGAATTCTCATGTCTCTCGATATCAATTCTTTTTGGTGTTCAATGTTGTATAAAAATTTTAAATTTGATATCTCAAGATATAACAAATCCTCCTAATAGAAATTATGATATCCATCAGTATTGGAAGATATCTATATGGAGGTTTGACATCTTTCGTCAACTAACAACCATCTTCCGCCGCTAGCTGCCATTATCATCGCCAACCACCTCCGTTTTTTGCCATATTCACATATCACTAATTAAAATCACGATTTCAAAAGGGAAAATTCCCTATATAGAAGTAAAAAAATTATAAAAATACCGAAACAGGAGTCCTAAATCTTTTAAGATCAAAATAAAAGTTCATACTGTCATTGTTACACTGTCACACTTACTACAATTTCACATTGTTGCAGCTACCACACTATCATTGTGACACTGTCATTTGTTAACACCAGTCACTAGAGTACCGCTGCGGACCGTCGATAGTTAAGGGATCACATTACCATATAACATTGTCATTACTTTTCCATCACACTGCTAACACGTACTCCTTCCGTCCTAAAATTAACTTCTCATTTGACTTTTCACGGTCTCCAATGTGACATTTTAACCATCAATATCTCAATTTTTATATAAATATATTTTATAAAAATTATATATTTCAAAACTATGTTTCAAAATGAATCTATTGCCAATAAATTTATATAAAAATTCAATATATTTTTTCTGTAATATACGGTCAAAGTTTAAAAAGTTTGACTACAAAAGTCAAACTGAGAAATTAATTTTAGAACAGAGGGAGTATTTTTATATCACATTGTCATTATACTCTTATTTTAGTCTTAAAAATCTTATGACTCATATTTTGATATTTTCATACACTCTATTTTTTTTACTCCTATCCAAATTCCTTATTTCAAAACTCATCAAAACTAGCCCTAAAAATTCGTTTATTTTTGCTTTCTTTTTTAAGCCGTGAAGAACATTATTAGTCTAGGCCTAGAAGCAGCAGTAGATGTGCTCGGCTATCAAAATCGCTTCTTCACTTCTCCAACCACTGGAATCTGCTGCTGCTGCTTCTTCTCCTTCAACCTCTTCGTCCACTGTAAGCATTCAATTTCCATTTCGTTTATACAAAAAATTTCTCCGCCATTGTTTATTCCGGGCGTGTGTTCAGCGTTCTCTGCTCTGATGGCATCCATGGCGAAATTATCAGATTCTGTTTCCTGGGGATAATCGTAATCGTTCGAAGAATCTCGCTCTTCCCTCTTACAAGTGGCGCCTGGTGGTTTCCTATGATGGAACCCGATTTTCAGGTCTCCCCGCTTGAATTTACCCCACAATTCTTTCACTAATTTCTAATCCCCCCCCCCCCGTGATTATTTTAGGTTTCTAATCTAATGTCATTCGTATATTCTGTTACTCCATAGTCCATATGAACCACAGTTCTTTTTCCTAGAAAAGAAATGAGAAGTGGAAGGGAGCATTACGGTTTAAACCCATTCAAGTAATTTGAGTAAGAGTACCCAAATGTCTTAAATGTAGGTATATATATACATACACACACACACACACACACACACACATATATATATATATATATATATATTGGTTCTCGTGAGAATGCGATCTTATGAAAGAAATAAGAATGAATATGGTGCTTTAGATTGTGAGATCTAACGGTCAGGATTGCATCAAAATTAGGTGCACCAAAATGGTTTGAAAATGCATCATGTCGAAATGCACCAAAAACCTTTGAAAATGCACTATATCAAAATCTGAGCCGCACGATGCATCAGATCCAAAGGCTAGATTTTATTCTTATTTCTTTCACCAAGGTGCATTCTCACCTGAACCAGCCCTTATATATATATATATATATATATATATATTTATATATATATATATATATATATATATACTCCGTATATATATATATATATATATATATATATATATATATATATATATATATATATATGATTCTGCTAATGTGGGAGCTGCAAGATGGTGTCTGGTTGAAGCAGACTAGTATACGACATAGTGTGCTCTTTGTTGTGTTTTCCTAGGTAACTAGGTTTGAGTTTTCAGAACTCCGATACCATATTAAGATTTGGTATTCCATCGAGAACATTCTCATGAGAGTAGTCCAATGACTAATGTGTAGGTTCATATTTGTATATTTGGCCGGTTTAGATGGCTTTACAGTTGTTTTGAAAATTCACAAAAAATTAAGTCCCATTTTGTGAGGCTTCTCAAGTGTATAAGAATGTCACCCTGAAATGGCATGAATGATGAAAACTCAACAACAGGTTGGCAATATCAGCCATCAATACCAACAGTGCAGTGCATTTTGGAGCAGGCTTTAACTCGAATTACAAAACTAGAGCGCAAAGATCTTCAATTAGTTGGTGCAGGAAGAACTGATGCAGGAGTTCATGCTTGGGGCCAGGTTTGCTTTCTTTCCGTTTTCTTAAACTCACACGAATGAATAGTGCCTGTTCGGTAGGCATTTTTTTGTTTTCGGGCATTTTTTTCACCAAACACGGACTTATTCATTGTGCTCGACGAATAAGTAGCACATAAATTAAATTATTATTATTATTTTTGGATAAAATGGATGAAATAAATGGAAATGACTCTTCATGCTTCAATAATTTTTTATTTAATTTATGATTTTAAGCAAGTCACTTGTTTAGCAAATTTTAAGGGCTTGTTCTCTTTAGCTGATCTGATTGGTTCTCATTTGATTGAAATAAGTTCAACTCTGGTATGATCGGATTGTAGTTATATTTAAAGTTGTTTCTTATCTGATTCAAATAATAATAAGTAATAAGAATAAGTTGAAGAGAACAAGCACTCAGTCATGTAAAACATTACCAATTGTGGTCAGAGTGATTTAAACAAGAGATGAAATCATTTGTTGGTTTCAGGTGGCACACTTTATTACACCTTTCAACTTTGACACCCTGGATGGCATCCACAGATCGATAAACGGTTTGCTTCCATCTGATATTAGAGTCAGAGAAATTAGCGCAGCAGCCCCTGAATTCCACGCGCGTCTTTCTGTGATTAGCAAAACTTATGAGTACAAGGTGTACAATGACACCATTATGGACCCCTTCCAGAGGTTATATGCTTACCACAGTATTCATAAACTTAATGTTGATGCCATGAGAGATGCTGCAAAATATTTGACAGGTAAGCATGACTTCTCCGCTTTTGCCAATGCATCAAAGGATAGACGAGTGAGTGATCCCGTGAAGAACATCCTTCGCTTCGGTGTGATTCAAACGGTATATGTTTTGGTCTCATCTTGTATGAGGACATATGGGTGTTTTTCTAATTAAAAAAAAGAGCTTTATATTAAGTTTTGGTGATTATAGCCCGATTCACCTTCCTTAGTTATATGGAGTAAATTCCATAAATGGTCCTTTACAATTGGAGGCTTTTTATATTTAGTTCCTAATTCTAAGATATTTCATCCGTAGTCCTAAATTTTTGAGAATCATTCCATAATTAGTCCTTTGACCCCGATATTCAGATATTGTTTTCCACGTCCAGTCCCCAAAGGACCGATTATGGAATGATTCTCAAAAATTGAGGATTACAGATGTAATATCTTAGAATTAGAAACTAGATATGGGAAACACTTTGTTATAAAAGACTATTTATGGAATTAATTCTATACGTAGTGATGTTGCTATGCAGGGACCAATACTGCAGCTGGAGGTTGAAGGATCTGGTTTTCATTATAGACAAGTTAGAAACATGGTACACACCATTCATTGACACACTCCATCCGTTTTGGCAATTGGTATATAATATCCAACCATTGAAACTAAAAAGCAAATGTTTTTTGTGTTTTTCATGAACATGATGGCTTCAAATTGAGAAAATTTCAGTTTTGGCCCTTAAATTAAACTCCCTCCGTCCCAATTTAAATTGCTTGTTTCAGTTTATGATATTTGACTGAAATTTATTTTCAATACAATTTATTTGAAATTTAGAGCAGAGTTAAAAAAAAACTGCATCAAAAGCTCTACAAAAGAGGAAGTGACCTGACTATATTATGAATAACGAAAATAGAGAATGAAAATGAATGAAATTTGACCTTGTGAATAGTAAACAAACAACTTAATTCGGTCCTTAAATTATACGAAGCAACTTTTTTCGATGGTTTGGCAGGTGGGCTTGTTGCTTCAAGTTGGAAGGGAAGCAGTTCCTCCAGACATTGTTCCCAAGATTTTGGAATCTGGTGATAGAAAGCAGCTTGCAAAGTATGCATTGCCAGTGCCAGCAAATGCTCTCTCTCTTAAGACTGTCAAGTACAAAGAAGAACATCTTCACCTCCCACCGGGCAGCCCGATGACCAGTTTTGGTATGCATCATTCCATAAGAACATGTAAGCTGCCATGTTTTTGAGTGACGGATATCTGCCCAGAGCTGCCCTGTACTGCTATCATTGTTTTATTTCAATGATGTAATTAATTCCCCATGTTTGGTGAAAGGAAATGTAGGTTTATAATAATATGCCTTTCATCCTGGCAAACATACTGGTCATTGTAAAAGGTTTACTCTATTATGCCTCTCATTCTTGTAATTTAAGTGAACAATGCAACTTCGAGGGTGTTTTTTTGTACCGATACTTATTGATTTATTATTCATAAACAATTTTTAACTTATAAATTGTTTATAAGTCAAATATTCTTTTATAGAAGTAAAATGACTTTAATGATAGATTAGTCATTTGAAATTATATTCATAAACGGTGAGAGATTATTTTGCAAATAATCTAGTCAAAACGGAAAAATAAAAAAAATAATTTAAAAATAAGTATGCAAGAGCTACATATCTTTTCTAGCTTATAAATAGTCTATAAGTCAACTTATAAGTACAACGAAATATCTCTCATAAGTTAAAATTGTGTATAAGTAAGCAATCTTGACATGCAAAAACTCAACTGCAACTATAGACATGTGAGCTATGTTTTCTTCTAAACAGAGTTTGAAGGAGGGACTAGGGGAATGTTATAAATTATAGGGAAGAATAACAAAAAGCAGTTTTACAAGGATCTAAAACGAAAAATGACATTGGAGGGGCATGAAAAATGATTGACCTAAGAAGAATGCAATGCAAACTGTACATTAAAAAAAGTGTAAACGAGTGATTATTATTAATATTACAAGTTTAAAAATTGATGCATAATAAAAAGAATATGAAGACAGAAGTGTACATTCGAGGCTAGATTTTGTTTCTTTTTGGGGGATGTATAAATAAATAGCATTTCAACTATCTTTTTTTTTCTTTTGAAAACGCATTTCAACTATCTAAAAAGCGGAGTTCTATCATAAATTCCTTCTGACTTGGTGAATACCAAGCAACAGCCTTGGCGGAGCCAAGAACTTTCAGCGCATATTCAAATGCAAAGATGGGATTGTTTACTCTGGGACGAAAGTCCCTCGCGTCAATGGCTATTTCTGAATCTACCCTTAAGCTGAAGGGTCCAGCAATCTGCATGTCATACACAACAAAGGTCACAGCACAATATTAGCAAAAATAATGGAGTAATAATAATAATAATAATTGAAGGTTCACTAATTTAGTTAAAGAGAGATTGCACCAAGGACAGAATGTTCACTAATTTTACAACAAGCCATGTATCGAATGTTCTAAAGACAGCAGTGAGGGCATGCTTTGATCCCAAAAAATTGTTACACAAAGAACGAAATGTCATTATAAATTACTCCATATTTTTTATGTTTGGTTTTACCATAGAAGATGCAAAGAAAGACAAAATACTATTACAAGTATTTTTCATTTGGATTTAGATTTCTTAGCCTTTATATCACTAATAGAGAAACAAAGTGAAAGTATGAATTGCGGAGTAATATCTATAGTAAATTTATAAGTTTTAACTTGCCTTTTATTTTTTCCTTGTCTTTTCTTTCCTGTTATGTTTCCTTACACTATGTTTGGTTCAAAGAAATTGGAAGGAAAAGAAAAGAAAATGATTTTCTCTCAATTTCCTCACCAAACTGGGATGAATTTTGTTTTCCATCCTCTTAATGCATCTTGTCTTCTAATTTTCTTTTCCTCTAACCAAACACGAAAAATTATTTTTTCCCTCATTTTCTTTTCTTCTTTCTTAAATTCTGTGAACCAAACATAGTGTTAGTATTTTAAAGGATGTAATGGACCCTAGGTGTGTGATTGGATCATAGAAAATGTATGTAAATGACGGATAGTATTAAAAGTTATTTTTGTATGTTTGGCTTTACATAGGAAAATTCAAAAGAAAATGATTTTTTTATTTTTTATACATATATTTAGATTTCTAAGTCTTTTTATTATAATAGATATAAATAAGAAAATTGAGTATTAACAAATATCATAAACAAATTTATTGAGTTTTAGCTTATCGTTAATTTTCCCCAACATTTTCTTTTGTGATACTTTTCCTCTTTGTTCTCATTCCTGTTTTGTTTCCACTGATCCATACGAACCCTAAAGTTTTCAATGAAGTGTGACAATGATGAGTGTTCATTGGAAACTAGAATTCACCTGTTGCTGAAAAGAAACCATGGCATTGGGGCAAACTGCTTGAATCGCTTCAGTGCTTGGCACTAGAGACTTGTGAAGATCACGTGCCACAGAAGTTACACCAGAAATAAATTTTGACCCACATGGTATATCAAAGCGTGCATCAAATTTACTAAGATCCAGGAAGAACCTTTGGAAATTTCCGTGTTGTGCAGACAAAGAAAAAGATGCAAATAAATCCACTGAAAGAGCAGCATTTTTACGTTGAGCTCGAAGTGAAAAGTTTCTGAAAGGTAGCGACTCGTCTTCTTTTTTCAATCTCATTGAATTCTCGCCTATGCACGCTGATAAAACCACACCTATAATGATAGAGATGAAAAAAAGAGAATGAGTACACAATATCCACTAAAATAATTAATAAAGGAGGTAAGACATGCAATATTTATTGAATGAAGCTCAAACACGTCAATAAATTATACTCTTTTGTGACAACAAGTCACTTTGATAGAAAAATACCTTTCATTGATGAATTTATTCTTAATAAAGGAAGCCCCACTGTAAAGAAGACTCAAAGAGTTAAACTCCCTCTGTGTCTAAAAGAGAGTCAACTGTTTTCTCAGGGTATTAATTTTCTTGGCAAGGTACAACTCTTAAAAGTAAAAAAAAAATTGTTTGTTTGCTTGTTTAACAGTATTTCATCATATTTAACTTGTTTGCAACTATTTAATTTGGCAGACTATATGAAAGAACTAGATGTGTTTAATCATATTGACTCTTTTTCTAGACTGAGGGATTATATGCTTTGGAAATCATTAAACGCGATGCAGCTCTCACCAAGTATGCCCGTGGCCGAGATGTGAGGACTGGACAAAAGTATGTCATATGGTTGCACCATTTTCAACAGAGATGATTCACTTCTCCAGAGGTCCATACTTTTTTTCAACAAAACAGCACCTTTTGCACAAAATCCCGGAAGTAAAGAAGAGGGCACTTCTTTGGCCAGTGGCTGACCATGACACTGTTTAGGTAAACCTGTATTGTGGTTGACTAAAAGATGATAGCTTAAGCTGGATTCACCAGTAACTGATGCAAGATCAAAGGCAAAAGCTAATGGTACATCCCAATAATTTCCGAGCCGATCAACAAACATCCCGGGCGAAGCTGCCTCAACGGTGAGATCATGATGCGGAAACTACACTAACAAAATATCTATCCTCAGGTAAAATATTCCATAAAGTCTATAACAAATAAGACATAAAGACACAAAGGAATGTGTGATAAATTCAATTCGTCTACACAAAATCTCTTATCATTACGGATGATCACAGATTCACAGAACAACAGTGAAAAAAGAAAAAGTAATAGATATATAGTGAAGTGGAAACAAGGGGTGTATCTAAAATTGTACACTTACAACACCATGTATATAACTAAAAAATGACGAGTAATATATCCTATGGTGTTAGTAATATTAACAAACACGTATCGACTCCGTCCCGAAAAAAGTCATGCTTCACGAAGGTACAACTTAAACTTAGTAATCTAAAAATATTGGAAATCATCAAATCTTGCTATATTTTTAAAAATAATGTTGGTTTGACAAAATTTGAAAATTTTGACTTCTTTGAGAAACTTCCTTTTTATGAATAAATACATAATATATTATGAAAACTAGATTTTTTTTGTACACACATAACTTTTTTAGGGCGAAAATAAGTTTCCAGAAAGGAGTATTTCTTTGGGACGGAGGTAAAATGATAGTTGAATTAGAAAAGTAATGGATAATTATGAGGAGCATAAAAAGCTTGCCTTGTGGTGAAAAACTGCTTTCTTCCGGGGGATCTTACCATCATCATGGGAATAGCTAACAAGTAACATATCATCTGGTGTTAACACAATCTCTGAACAAAGATTAAAGGCATAAAGGGATTTATCCAAGAGGTGTCTCCTAAAAGTGTGCAGCCATGAGGATTCAGATGGGTGTATCGATCCTTCGTTCCTAATAGAAGAAACAAGTTTCTGCAAATTTAGCTGACAAAGCAATGTTGCGACCCTGCAAAAATTTGATGGTCCCAAAGATTAATCAATATTCCATAAGGCATAAGCAGAGACGCAAAAACGCCATGAGAATTAAAACTACGTACATACAAAATAGTTATGTAGCGAACGAACATTACGTAGTCCAAATTAGTGAAATCAATAAGGTGAACTTAATTGCAAATTGCATGTGAAATTTTTTACAAAGATCATAATTTTAGAGCTCTGTACAAGCTTTGAATGGGAAGTTTCCCATGTGCAGCAAGCTCAAGCCTCCTCTGCATACTAAGTTTTTGTGGAAGAGTAAACGACAGGGCAGGAAGGAATTATTACATTCAGGACAAGAAGGAATTCACACAAAATCTGTAGCTTGCGAACAAATTGACAGATTATTACTAGTCGAATCACATGAAAATCCTAATTGTCAAGGAACCAAACCAACAAATAATAGAAATGAACTAATTGTTAGAAGGTTTTATACTCTAAATCTTTAACCCTAACTAGCACGGAGTAAGATTTCTATTGCTATTACAATATAAGATTGTTGTAGATAGGGTTACCAGTTTTCACAAATGTTAAGGGAAAGCGCGCGTTGAAGTAGGAATCCGCTACAGGCGGCCATGGAAGGGATGAAGGGCATGGCCATGAAGCGCTGGAAGAAATCGACTTGTCTGGACCTGGAAAGCCTATGGCCGCGAGAGAGTCCCAAGGGAAGCGGGTCACCGGGAACCGGACGCGCCTGGCCGTCGAGAGTCACCGGCGTCGATAAATCCAAATCCCAAAACCCTCCGGCGTCCGTGGCCCATCTCAGCTTTCTCATCTTCCCCTCGGAATAGTTTACTGCAAGTGACAGAGCATCAATTTGGATTCTGGAGAAGTATTTCTTTCTTTCTGATGGCCATGTGATGATTCCACCATTTTGAACTTGAAATGGATAGTTTAAACAAATTCTATCGTACAAGCAAGAGACTCTTTGATTGAGGCGATTTCTTGAAAAACATGGAGTGATATGGGAAAAGTAGTTTTAGAAGTCAAATCGCAATATTAAAGAGAAAATGATATTGGTAGACAAAAAATTGTACTCCATTTGCATGCAACAATATTTTGTATTGGTATGATATTTTATAATGACAGAAAATATTAGTACAATTTTTTTATAAAATTAATATTTTTTGCCATTGTGAATTGTTAAAATATTGATACATCTTTTTAGGTTAAAATTGAGGTACACTACTTGGTGTACCCTTATCATGGTTGATATTAAAATCATAAGTTGGAAATCCATGAGGTTTGACATAATGAAGCTATTTTGGTACATGTGAAAAGTGTTGGTAAAAAATAATTAGTCTATATAATACCACTCTCGTCAAACTCTGATATTTTATCCTTGATGAGTTTGTAACATGTACTTTGTTAGAATTTTGACATTTAATAGGTTTAAATGGACCAACTTAGAAGTTTGTTCTTCTAAGTGTAACAAATATCTTGAAACTCCGTAATGCACAGGGGCTATGTGGGTCAAGTCACAATCGAATATTGTGAGCGCTTGTGTGTGCTAAATGCACTATAAAGGTAACTATGTGTTTCTTCTAATACCAATTGATTTTAAAAGAGTTAAACCCCATTCCGTTTAACTTATTTTTTTCTGCTCTTTTCTTATTCTTATTAAAATCAAATCAGACTAGATCAGATCGAATCATATCAGATTAAATCCAATCTATTATTATTATTAGGAATTATTATTATCATCATCATCATCATTATCATTATCGTTATTACTCCATATTTTTTAAATTTCATATTTTTTACTTGTTTCACTTGATACGATTCTTTCAAAAAATAAATTTAATTTCTCCTAAAAAAATATAAGAAGAAAGACAATGAAACTTTTGTGCGATTATAATTTATGTAGAGAAAAAAATGAGATGAAGCACAATTTTTTCTTAAAAATGAAAAAGAATAAACTTTAGAAACAAGTTAAATAGAAAACTGAAAAAGTATTAGACGTGAGAAAAATTATATTTAAAATACATTGAGAATGTCAATCTAATTCTACTTTTAAAATACATTTTTATTAGTACCTGTAATTTGAGTTTCTAAAATTATTACATTATAAAATATGAATGAAAAAATATTATTACATTATATAATTACATTGTTTACTATTTGCATGGTCAAATTATATTCACTTTCTTTTCTTATCTTTGTTACTCATTTGATAAAATAATATAGCCATGTCACATCTTGTTTCATAAATATTTTAAAGTAGCTTTTTAATATGTAAATTTTATTTTTTAATTCCGCTTGAATTTTTAAATCAATTATATAGAAAATAATTTCAGTCAAACATCATAAAACGAAACGAGCGATATAAATTGGGACGGAGGGACTATCTTTATATACATACTTTTTCAATATACTGTAGCACCATGCTGGGGTTCGAAGATGTGACTTCCCATTTTGGAGAGCCACAACTATACCGCTTGACCAGAAGGTCTTTGGCACCTTAAAAAACACTTTTTAATCGCAGAAACCCAAAGAAAGAACGAGTGAGTCCGCTCGCAATGGAACGACAACACCACACAACCTTTGACTTGGTGCAGAAATACAACAAACATTTGAGGTTAAGATGTAGTAGTAGTAGTAGTATGTCTCATGTACAGTTAGCAAGAACTACCAAACAAAGGCAACAGGAAAGGAAAGGAACAATGAATAATGATGGCAAGGAGTACAACCTCAAAGCTGCTAAAACTGGAGCCCGTTCGCTCTTGCAGCTTCTGCAATAGCTTGAATGCGCCCATGGTAAGGGTACCCGCCTCGATCAAACACCACCTTCGTGATCCCCTTCTCGAGACACAGCCTCGCTATAGCTTCCCCCACTTTCTGTGCCACTTCCTGTCACCAAAGGCATGCCTTAATTAACATGATCCTAAGTAATGGAGGGCTTTGGAGGGATCGTAGCAACAAAGAAGACACAAAACACGAACAAAGAAGTAGCAAAGAAGTTATTTGGAATGCTATACAATCTCGTATTACGTCAGTATTTCTTTTTTTATAAATATCAAATGCGGAGTATATTTCAAAATATAGTCTAAACCCCACCACATGTTTTCAATCCAAACACATCCTAAAGAGAAGAGCATTCACAACAAGATAGCAATACAATTTTTTGTAATAATCTGTTAATCCTTTTCTCTAGAGAGGTCTTCCATCTTTCAGCAATTAATCCTCGAAAAAATTAACAGTAATGCCTCAACATTGAGTTGCATCAAACTCTTCAAAGAAAATTGCTATGTGCAAAAGATCCAATTGATCAATATAATACAAATATATTCCAAAGTAGAGAATAATGAAAAAAATCATTTGTGAAATATCATGCATAAAAAACATAAAATCTCAGGCACATTATAGTCATTTAAACACTACTTTCTTTCTTTTTGAAAGCAAGGGCACGAGAAAACTAAATATTCTAATAAGTTGGGGGCAATTGAGTCCAATTATAGTCACAACCTATTGGGAACTCCACCTTATTATATAAAGGAAAACATATTAGAGGCTAGAGCTCTTGAACCTTTTTAAATAATCGGTAAACTTACAATGGTGGGACCAGCACTGTATTCGACTTTTTCAGAGATGGATCTTTGCATTGTTGAAACTGCAGCCAGAGTATGCATTTGTGTGTCATCAATCACTTGAACATAGAAATGTTTGTTGGAACGGAACACCGACATCCTTGGCCTTTCAGGAGTACCTTCAACCTGATAACAAGGAATTAATTGCATTCATCAGAGATTCACAAACCTCTCTACCTTTTACAGGTAGGGGTGAGGTATGCGTAATGCGTTAGTGGTGGACATGATCCAGGCTTCCCACCCATGCCCGAAGGCCCGTCCATTTTTTAAGTGTGCTTCAACAAGTTAGGCCCGTAGTTCAGGCCTTGAACAAAAAGAAAAGCAAGGTTAATAAATGGGCGGGGTTTGGACAACCTCCCAGAGCCCGAGCCCGGCTCAAATTTATGTACTCTAACGACTTAAGGAGTACAACATTTTATTTACATGTAAATGTGAATAAATAATGAGGCCTAATATATACTGGTTTCAATTTATAAACAGAACTCCATTCTCGCACAGGATAACACACTACATAACCAAAAACACACCCAATACGTTTCACAAAAAAGTAGTGTTTGGGGAGGGTGAGGTGTACCCGAACGTCATCCCTACCCCTAGAAGTAGAGAGACTGTTTTCACAAAGATCCCTGGGAAATGTAGGGAAGTTTTGAGAGATGTTAAATACTCCTATTTGATTATATATTTATTTTGAAAATTTCAAATATCTTTGTAATTTCATTTTTAAACTTTTCGGCAGTAGAAAAAAGATATCCAACGATGAAAGATAGTGCTCTACTGGGGTAAAACAGGAAACAAATGGAAAAGATAGAATAGCATCAAAACGGCAGTACACTAAATAGAATGTAAACAAAATACTAGATATCGCCACAAAGACGCACTAACTACAGGACCAAGAGAACCCCCAACCACCCAACAGCAGTTGCATACAAATTCTACTCAAACTCTCATAAAAGGTAATAGACTCTGAGAGGTCTAAGACTGACATGTCTAACATCAGTGGTTGTGGTTCATCACGTCCACTGTGAGATGAAAACCCATCTATTTTAACATCTCACGTCTACTTACAGTTTTAAGGCTTTATTATTGCCTACCAGCCCCAACTGCATATACAATATTCTTCTCATACAACAAATGCTTGACTTAGTTCTAAGCAACAGTGCTACAATTGGGAATTTGGCTAAGGGGTTGATTCTCATACCAACTCGTGTCTTTTTCACCTAATGAAAGAAGACCCCAATTCCCATAAAGGTACAAGTCCAGAAAAAACAAACCTAATTAGCATTACAATTTAATGCAAGTACTGCCAACATGATTGAAATATGTTAGTGAAAAGAAAGAGAACCTAATTAGCATAAAGGTACAAGTCCAGAAAAAACAAACCTAATTAGCATTACAATTTAATGCGAGTACTGCCAACATGATTGAAATATGTTAGTGAAAAGAAGGAGAACCTTGATTTTGACTAGAACATTAATTAAGATAAGTTTATGAAAAAGAATAATAACCTTGTGTAACCAATACAGTACCATACTCTTAAGACATGCTCCCTCCATCCCAAAATGAACTTTACACTTGCCTCAATGGGATGTCCCAAAGTAAAGTTTAAACTTCACCTTTTTCCTTTCTAGGAATGAAGTATGTGGCTATTAACATTTCTCTCTCTTCAAAACAAAACTTGACTATACATTTTCATATTTTTCAATACTTTTTAAAACCATGTGAAATCATTTTGTAAACTTCATTTTGGGACGGAGAGAGTAACCATTAGAACAATAGTTTCCATAATGTTTCCAATTGTAACAAAGTTTAAATGTTACAAAACTTAATTGGAGCAGAGTAGCAAATGAAAACAATAATCAAAAGGAAATTATGGTTGCTTTTTTCCTATAATGGCATGAATTCAAACTGGAACAAACTGTCCAGCTCCAGTAAGAATCAAACATTTATACCGTCCTACATTCCTACTTACAGAAATGACTACATTTATAAGAAAGTACCATTATGATCATCCGTGACACATTGGAAATGACATCGAGGCTGGAAAGGCCCGAATCCACTAGAAGAATATGTGCACATCGCAGGTGTGTTCTTTAATAACCTTGGTGATGCCGTGATGGCATAAATAAGTAATTGCTTTGAATGAACGGAAGAAATGAACAATTTAGCTCACTTAAGGGGTTATATATGGCATGTAAAGGCAGTTCATTGCAGATAAGTGCAGAAGTCTAGACAATCCCACGCCATATTGCTATACAAGAATCCACAAAAATTGGGTCTATCTTGGACACTTCTTTAAGGGCTAGATATTATGGTAAATTGTTGAGCAGCAGTATAATATAATTGTGAAAATTTGAACCGGGACCTAGTGTCTAGATTCTTGTAACTGGAACCTCGACAATCGAAGTTAAAAGTTGAGTAGAACATGGATTCAGATGCTAATCAGGTAAAATAAACAAGACAGAAACGCAAAACCTAGTATGATACTCCATCTTAGCATATAACAGACAAAAATGGCAAAATTAGTAAATGTGAGACGATTATTATCCAGACGGAAGAGTACAAAATGAGATTAAACCCTAAAGAGTAATTAGGGCTACCTTCTTCCTAAGGCGAGAATGGCGAGCAACCCGATCGTCCCTACTGGTTCTGGACTTGGCTTCAACAATCAGAGGCAATGGCCGGGTGGAAGCGGGTAGCATGACCCGGTAGCAGGGGAAGCCATTAGAGACCTGCTTATTGGTGTAGAAGGGAGGATGGAGAAAGGAGAGTGGGATCGAATTAGCAGACATTCCTGTTTTTCCTTCAAGAATTTCACAGGGCCTCTGTGGAAGGAAGGAGCTCCTTCCTCCTATTGAAAAAGGATAAGGAAAAGAGGAAGGAATAGCAAAATAAATACTCCTTCCTCCTAAAATATTCTTTCCAGTTACTTTTCATACAGTCAAACTTTAATCACTTTCTTTGCTTATTTTCATTAGGAATTTGATAAAATAATACAGTCTTGTCTCCACTTGTTTTGTACGAGTAGAACTTTTGATGTAGTCTTTTAATATAAATTTTATTTTTTAATTTTACATCTACAATCAAATAAATTGAATTGAAAATAAAGTCGCCCAAACCTCGTAAACACAAACGGGAAGAACATTTAGGACGGAGGGAGTAGTATATCTAGCTAAAAATATTTTTATGTGGAATACGAATATTTAATACACTTTTGATTTTATTAATGACCAGAATTCATTCAGTTTAACTATGAAAAATAAAGTTAGACAAACACACATTAAGACAAATATTTTTAAAAAATATAACAAATGAAACTTGTTAAAAAACTCGTTATTTACAAAAAAATATAGAATACGTAGTACTTCCTCCGTCCCAAATTATTTGTCACATTTGATTTTTCAACAGTCGCGGAAACTTTTGTTTATTTCTACGTTTTCATTGGTTATTTGATAAAATAAAATATTCTTGACACCTCTTATTTCGAAGAACTTTTCATGTAGTTTTTTGATATGTAATTTTTATTTTTTATTTCTTTACCAATATAAAAATAAAATGAATTGAAAAAACTTGATATTTTACCTCGGTAATAGAAATGTGACAAATAATTTAGGACGGAGGGAGTATATGATAATTTTGAAGGTGTTTCAAAATGATAAACTTGTTTGTAAAGTTATTTTTATGCACCCTTTTTTGCAAATAAAAAATGAAAGTAAAAGCATTGCTAGACATATGAATTTCCCTAAAATATTGTTTCACATGAAAAATTATGGTGACGAAGAACAAAAATTTAAATGTTCACCAAATATGCTCCCACTTAAATTAATTTCTAGATCCGTCACTAGGGTCAATTTGCGACCCAAAAAAATCATGAATAATTTCACTCAAAATTATTTAGTTTTTGAAATTAGTGTCTCATTACCTTTTTTATCCATCAAAATTGAAAGCATGTGTGGTCATTAACTATCTCAATATTTATTAGTTTTTACATGATTTGAGGATGCATTTGTTACATGACATTGCTAATAAATTCATGTTTAGATTTGTTTTTTTCTTTTGTTGGTTATAAAAAATCCAAATACAATACTCATTCCGTCTAAAAAAAACTTTAACAATATTTTCTCTTTGGATGACACAAAAAAAAACATTTCTCACTTTATTTCTTTTTTAATAATTGATATGGAATATATGATTCACAAAATTAGTCTATATACTTTTAGTTTTTCATAAAAATCATAAAAGTCAAGATGGGGGGGGGGGGAATAATGTGTGGGTGGGGGGGGTATATGATTTCTTAGACACTTCACCCAATTCAACTCCCACAAATCCAAATACCTCAATCATTTTTTTTAGTAAAACTAACACTTACAAACCAAACAGTCTCAAAATAACACAGATTTTTGCCATATATAATCTTAAAAACAAAGCGAAGTTTTACATATGGAAAAAGATTTTTCCACTTCAAAATAGATGAGAAACAGATGCATTTTTTTGGCAAAAAAGGGGGACTGCAATCCCAGTCACAAGCATCTTGTATCTCCTACTAGGCCTCAACCAAACTTTTAGTCTCATGAGAGCTCCACAATTTTTGGTTTCTTTCTTGAACACTTCTTATTTCTTGATGTTTCTTCACTTGAAGAAGAATCTCCTTCAACAAGCATAGCATTTTTTCCTTTTTTCTGAAAATTAGCTTTGTCTTCATCACTTCCATCATCATCATCATCATCTTCATCATCTTCATCATCATCACTGCTATCCTCTGAGTCTGTTTCACTAGAAGAAGCAAGAGTAATCACGGGTTGATAACCAGCCATTGCAGACTCGGCAGCGGCTATGGCTTCATCACTTTGTAACTCTGCAACACCAAGCATCAAATCCATCTCAATGAACTGAGATTCCTCGCCAGTTAGAGCTTCTATATCATAGTTCTCTGGGTTCTTTTTCGCATCAATCTCCAGCTTTTTGTTTGCTTCTGAAATCACCCCCAAGAAATCCTTGACTTTTCCTAGAAATTGGCTTTGAGAAGGAACAGGAGTTGTTTTCTTGTTCACATCAGAAGCGGCGTTGGGTTTGGCGCTTTGGGACTTGAGATTTTTGCAATCATTGTTAAAAACAAGTTTGGATTCCAAAGGTGATGTTTTGCCCTCTAAATCCAGCAAAGCTTTGCTGTTGGACTTCATCTGTGCACATCAATATTTGTCAAAAATTAGTATCCTTGAGGGTAAATGTAATGTAGAATTTACCTGCAGAATATCCATGTATTAAGATTCTAATATGTAAAATTTGCACTAAATACTAAAACATAATGACTTTTCCAATGTAGGACTTAAACTTTTTTATTCCCTAAATAGGACTTAATAATGACCTAGTAGGAGGAATAATGTCCAGTAATGATGGACATTTACTTGAATAATGACTACTTGATAATGATCAAAAGTCTTACATTAGGAAATAAAAACATATGGTCCTATACTGGGAAAGTCATTATCTTTTAGTCCTATTTAGATAAATTTCTCTTCTAATATCTATCTTAATTTCTGTTTGTTTGATTGCAACAAACTACATTGATCTGAAAAATTGTATTTTATGTTAGTTTTTGGGGCACAAACTGTATTCATATTTCCTTTTAAGGAAATAATTGCGTAGTTGATATTACATCTTTCAACCACACTATATTACTCGGCATTTTATTTGATCAAAAAGGGACAACGAATGGAGTATAGCGCCATTTTAAACCACAAAAGCATAAAATACATTTCATGAAGAAGTTCCTTAAACAATTCCAATTTGCATCCACCACCAATTAAACAAACATGGAATAACAAAATATGAACTTCAAAAAGAGAAAACATCGGGAAAAAAATCACAAGTTGATAAACAACAAAAACCAAGTCTTTTTCTGTGAACACAGACATTTTAGGCATAGAGATGTGTGATGGTTTTGTGCAAGGAGGGAAGAGATTAGTGATTAATAGCTATTGCTAAACCTAACCATTCAAGTATTAAATCACTAATAAAGAAAAATAAAATCAGACCAAAGAAATATGGCACTATTCTGCCACCCTTCTTTAATGTCCTAATTCCTCCAATAGACAAAATACAAACAAAAAGAAAATGTAAGACCTAAAAAGAAAATATATTGATCAAATCAAAAGATACATGAAGCTTGGATAAACAAAACCTTGAGAAAAAACCGGTGTGGCGGATCTAGACACTCTAGCACAAGCAGAATAGGTCTGGATATGACAATGGTGCAAACATATGGAGCTAGGGTTGTGGTTTGGAAGAAGCCGGAAGAGGCAACCAGTGAAGGGCTGGCTGCAATGAGTGGACGAGCTTCTGTGGGCTTTTCCTAGGATATATAGGGCCCATGCAACAGAGCAATTTTGGTCTAAACAATTAAAAAAAAACATGTCTTCATATTACTAAAGTAATAGAATTTCAGATTTACACAACAAATTCATAACAAATAGCAAAAATTTCAAATAAAGATTTCAATTTTTCACATGACAAATTCATACAACAAATTGTCAAATTCACAACAAAAATTCATAAGAAATCCATAACACAAATTTATAAAGATTAAAGATTTTTCATATTTACACATAACAAAATGTAAAATTCTTAAACAAATTCTGAAATTTGCATTTTTTACCTCCGTACCTGGACTCCTGGACCTGGAGGCTGGAGAGTTTCCGGCGAGGCGGCGTCTGGAGGGCAGCGGCTAGACTCTGCAGCAGTGGAGCGTGCAGGCGGGCGACGGCGTCTCTCTCTCGGCGACTTCCTTCTGGCGTCTTTTTCAATTTCCCTTCGTGCTTGGATTTGGAAAGGAAATAGGAGGGCTAGGGAGTTTTGGGCTTTTGGAAGGGCTAGACTTCAATGTCTATGGCCGTGTGTGGAAAACAGCATTTGGTATAGCTTTTGGCATCTTTGACTGACTTTGGTTTTTTTGACCAAGCGAACCGCCAAAACCATTGTTTGGCTAATGACTTTTTCACTTGGCATTTTGATCCGAAAAGCTTAAATCTAAAATGCCAAGGGGAGTAGCATTTGGACTTGGCGGTTAGGAAAAATAATTTTTTTAAAATCATTTTTGTTGAAAGATATTTTATAATATATGTAAAAAAATAAAAATAAAAATAAAAATAAAAGTTAAAAAAATTAAATACGAAAAAAATAAGATGAAATTAAAAAAATTTATATTTATAATTCATTAAAAAATTTATATTTATAACTTATTATGAATTAAATGAAATTAAAATTTAATGCTCCATATAGTAAAGATTTAATTTTTACATGTAAAAAATGAAAAATAAATATCATGTCTATATATATATATATATATATATATATATATTATTTAATTTTTTTAATTTAAAAAAATATATATTTATGATATGATATTTAAAAAAAATTGTAAAATAAAATATACCATAAATGGAGGGATGTCCTTTTATGTAATTTTACTTACAAACAGCTAACTATAAACAGCTAAAGTTGCCAAACACTTAAAATTTAACTGCTAACAGAAACAACCGGTCAAAACAGCTAACTCAATCAGCCATTCAAACCAGCTAACATAAACAGCCAACAGCCAACTGCCAACTGCTAGTGTCCAAACAAGGCCTACATATAACATTTAAAAAAATTAGGCCCCTTAAAAAAAATTAGGCCCCTAATGGGCCAGCCCTGTTCCGATTAGGGTTGTAAACGAACCGAATCGAATCGAATATTCATGAATAATATTCGTATTCGTTAAGATAAAGTGATATTCGAATTCGAATTCGTATTCGGCTCGAATATTTTTTAAGATTCATATTCGGTTCGTTCAGAATATTGAACAGATTCAATTTGTTTAAAAATTCGGTTCGTTTAAAAATATTCGATTCATTTAGATTTTAAAATATTTTATAACCATTTAATCTATTTATTAGCTATTATTTGTCTATATATATAATTTGTATAATTAAATTTATATTTCGAATATACTTGTCAAACTCAAGAATCGAATACGCTTGATTCATATTCGTATTCGATAAGGATTTGAATATTGGTTCAGATTCGTATTCGTATTTGAATTTGAAAAAATAGAATGCAAATCACCTCATACGAATACGAATCACGAACCGAACTAAAAATATTCGATTCATTTACCACCCTAGTTCCGATATGTTGTTGTAAATTTATGAGCTGAAAATGTAATTTCAGATATGAGAAATTGAGAATCATAACTTATTTTTTTGCTTAAGACGCCAGGATAAAACGACGTCGTCTTGTCGTTTCCAAGTTGAGTGCCTTCCGCTGAACGCCTCCAGAAGGTGGTGGAAACCGCTGGGAATCCATCCACGCGATTCTCCGGCCGGCACGGATCGATTCATTGAAAAGTACAAAAGGCGTTTCTTCAATCATCATCTCCTCGCTTTCGATCAAAAACCCTATTTTGAGCTGCATCCCAAATTTTTTGATTGATCCATGGCGCTCAATCCCCAGCTTTTCCCCAACGGGATGCCCGTACCTTTCATCAACGAGCTGTTCGTCTTAGCCAGAGACGGCGTCGAATTCGAGGTCGATAAGATCCCTGGGTTAGCACCTTCCCGTGTCTTTTCAATTTCCTGCAATTCGTGTATTTGTTATGAGCATATATTGTCTTCTTATGTTATGATGATGATTGCTTAGGTTTTCGTTGTTTTGATGGTTTGTTTTTGATTTTTTTATTATTTCTCATCCAGACCCAACCTAGGACGTGTGAAGGCTAAGGGAACGATCTACCTGTCGAACATCCGCATGGTCTTTGTTGCGAAGAAACCTGTTGGTGATTTCTTTGCATTTGATATGCCATTGGTATGTAAGTCTAGATTGTGACTGATGTATGGGTATCTGAGTTGGATTGTGTGATTGAGTTTCTTGCAAATGGGTTGATTTATTTGGAGGCGTGTGATCGATTTAGGAGCATTTAAGCTACTAGGAATTAGAAGACGCTAGTATGTCTGTGAGTGTGTTGCACTAAATTGCGCCCTCTAGTTGTCCGTTAAGCCACCCCGATGGTGATCAACCAAAGCATTAGATCTTGATGACCATGTTTGGAGGGCATTAATGGCTTAAAAATGGATTAGAAAGTGTGCACACATTTCCGCGTTGTTTTTTTAACTTGCTTTGGAGGTCGTTTGTTTTCCATTGGAAGTTAGCTTTGTTGATTCTTGAGGCGCTGACAGTTCGTGTTGGTAAATTTGCTCGCATACCCCTAATGCTTTTGTTGCTGATTGTTTGTCCATGGTTTTACGTCTCATTTTAAAAATTCTAAATGTATCAGTTTGTTCTAGTTCTGTTTTTTGTTAAGCAAGTCGTAAAGGCTTTTAACCTGTTTGGTTCAGACTTTTGGAAAGTGTCCTCCATACTGACCTTGTCATGATCAAGCTCATAAATTAGCTTCCTTTAAGTGTTACTGCCAAGAAGTTAGAATAACTCTGAACAAGCAAGATATTCTTTTGTAGATAGAAAGAACAGAAGGGATTTAAATTTTATGAATGTCAATGTGTGATCGTGACCATAAAAATTCAGAGAGAAACCTCAGGATTCCTATAAAATTATCCCTCAAATATAGAATAGCTAGGCATTTTGGCTTAAATGGAGCTCATGATTGAAAGTTCTTCAGGTCCCAAAGACGTGAATCCCGCTAGCTTTGTTACTTAGGCAATAACTGTAGAAAATTAATTAGCTACTTGGGCATTATGGACTTTTATGTTGTATTCTGTGAATTTTTTATGGTTATTTTGAATTATACTCCGCATATGTTTATTCTTTATCTTCTGTGCTTCAAGGTTTGCCCGCTGTTTTATGGTGCTGGAGTGCTGAAAAATTCCTGTTTATATTTAATTGTTCTTGATTTTTCCATTCTCTAGTCATGGATTCCATGCAAAAGGGTTCGTCTTCATTGTTTCTCATGCTAGTTTTATTTTTATGTATTATTTCCGTGATTTGCATATTGGTTTTAAAATATCTATCATGTAATCGGATTTCACTGTAGAATCATCTCGCCTCATTGCCATTTTATGATATGTTACATCCAAGTGGAAATATGATGACGACATATCTGGAATTCCATCTCATTATCTCTCCTAATAAGGCTACAATTGCATTTAGTGTAGAATTTTGCCTCTACACATTCTTTGTGTGTGTAGGGATGGTAGTGTTATTTAATTTTAGACAATGAATTAGCCATAAATTTTCGCATCCAACCATTCCAACCTCCACTAGTTGGGACTAAGGTGGAGGTGATGATGTTAATGGAGAAGTCTCTTTTTTTCTCGCAGCTTTATGTTTCTGATGAGAAATTTCACCAACCAATATTCCATTGTAACAATATCTCTGCATCTGTGGAACCGGTAAGTTAGTACTCGCCAGAGATAGTTCGCGGACATTATAAACCTCTACATTTTGTAATCTCAATGTCACATCCATTCCTGCAAACATGTCAGGTTGTGCCAGAAAATGAAAATGGGGCTCTGTATTCCACACACACTATCAAGATCCTATTTAAGGAAGGTGGTTGTGGGACTTTTGTGCCCTTATTTTTCAACCTGATAAACTCGGTGAGAGAATACCATCGACAACAAACTGCTTCAATGGCTCAGCCACGAACGGATCCTTTGCAAGCGGCACAAACCCCAGTTGATGACATGATGAGACGCGCGTACGTGTTGTTTTGTTCAGTTCACCCCTCCACGATCTTCATATTAAAATAAATAAAACTCACAATTTTGTTTGTTTTTATTGCTTCTTGAACCATGTTGTAGCTATGTGGACCCAAATGATCCCACAAAGATCTTCCTGCAGCAGCCCACTTCTGAGTCTCAGCTCCGACGGCGCACCTACCATCCACATTCTGCTGAACACTCCACTTGAGATGCCCACTGGCGGGGCGGACATTACCCAATGCGTGAGTAATACTACCAGTACATATTATTATTATGGTTCGTTTTCGGGTTCAATAATGCTCCTTAGTAAATCGACCTCGGGATCCCTAAGAACCCTGTGTGTATACTGAGATGAAGTTTCTGCATTCTGATTGAGCTCCCTCTTTCAAATTGTATGGTATTTAAAACTGTATGAAGGTTTTCATTACTATAACAAATCACATGTATGGGGTATCTCTACCTACATACATTAAGAGCCTGTTCCCTACATTCATGTCTTAAGAGTTAGGCACAGGTGCCCCATACTTGAATGTAAACAAGCGTACATGAATGTAACAAAAGAATTATTACAAAAGAAGAAAGTTTGTGATTTTTATTAATCAAACATCAGTTAATATGAGAGTATGGCAATATTAATCTATGAATCGTAATTAGGAACAGATTTTGTGTTAGCTGCTACTATCAGAATTAGTGATTAGTCTTTTTATTCTTTGTCGTTTGGTATTTGAATTTTTAAAAAAGCTATGTAAAATGCAAATTACCAAAATGTACACAGAGAACTCTGATGTACAAGAAACAAGAACACTTTGTGGCAAGACTATGGTTGTGTTTCGTTCAGCTTATTTTTTCAGCTTCTTATTTATTCTTATTAAAATCAGACCAGACTAGATTAGATCATACCAAATCAGAAACAACTTTAAATATAACTACAATCAGGTCAAATCATACCAGATCAAATTAGATTTTCGAAAAATTAGATGAGATCAGGCAAACTGAGCCCTACATCTCTTTTAATGTTTAAAAAGGAAATTCTAAACTATTCAAGTACATCAACAATGAAACTAACCATCTTTTCGTATTTATACACACACGCACACACATGCAACCGCACGCACCCGCATACCCGCGCACCCACAGAATTGCAAACCTTCGCTTACATGTCTTCCCATTTACTTGAGATCATGTTGTTAGTCGGTATTGATGGC